GAGCCCGATGTGGGACTCGATCCCGGGACTCCAGGATCATGACCTGAGCTGAAGGCAGTCGCTTAACCAACTGAGCCACCCAGGCGCCCCTATTTTTCAAAATTCTTACAACATGGATACATCATCCTTGTAGCTGACGAACATCAAAACTATCTTTTAAGGAGTTGCTGGACGGAAGAAGGAATGCAGAGGGCCCAGGGAGGGCACTCTGGTTCCTCTACTCACGCCCTTCACCACTATTCCATGTGGCCTCCCCGGGGCTGCCCATCAACTTGCTCAGCAGCTTTGCTGAGAACGGCAGCAACTTTCCCTTCATCCTCGGAAACAACTCTGGCTCTGTCCCGGGCGGATGAATTCACATCCTCTGAAGAGACCACACCCAGCCGGCGCAACCCCAAAGGGCCCACCCGAGACCTCCGACAGGGCAGGAGGAAGCAGTGGTCACCTCACTCAGGAGGAAGAGACCTGTGCTGGTGGTTAGGGGCATCCTCCAGGGAGGCACAGCCGTGGCTATATTGAGACCAGAGATGTCTAATTAAGCGTTGTAACAACTTCTGTCATGTGGAGAGAGCTGTGCTCTGGTGGCAGGGCCACTGCCCTTTGCCAAAGAAAACCTGGCCGGCTCTACCACTTCCTGGCTGGTGACTCTGGGCCCGTGGCTTGATTTCTTTGTGCCTCAAACATGGAGGCGATCCTAAGGCGCTGGGGGATTAAAGGAGACACCGAGTGCGGAGTCTCCAAGTGCACCCCGCATATGGGAAGTTCCCCTCACATTTGTTGGCTGCAGTTAGGGAGAGATTGGGACAATATGTCGACTCTTGGGGACCCACAGCCTGCCTTCCGTCTGCCTTTGCTGGACCACCTGAGCCTCATCATTTCACACCTCTGTGCCTCCATTTCCTTATTTGTAAGATGACAATGGTAATAGCACCTACCTCAAAGGACTCAGGGAGTTAATACATGTAAGGTTTATAACACTGACACGTGTATGAGTCACACATACAACACACATACATGCCACCCATATATACTACATATATACACTACAGTGTATGCCACTCCAAAAAAGGTAATTTCACTATTGGAGCTGAATTCGCTTAAGATTTTGAAATCTGAAACGGTTCATACCAGCATCTGGAAGTAGCGGGAGGCAGATGGGGGATGGGGGACGCAGGGAGGCTGACCAGGGATCGCTCCGTTAATAGAGTAAGACTACAGAATGATAGTAACAGCTAGCCTTGGTGGACCCCCACCACGAGCTAGGCGCTGCTCTAAGCACTTCACGTACATTAACTTGTCCAGTCCTCGTATCATCAGCCCCATGAGGGAGGCATTACCACCAGGCCCACGTTACAAATGGGGAAACGGAGGCACAGAGCGGTTAAGTAACTTCCCCGAGATCATACAACCGGTAAACAGCACGGCAGACCTGAGTCAGACCCAGGCCCTCTGGCTGTTAAACTCACACCCTGAACCACCACTCCATGTGGCCCCCCCAGGCCTGCCGCTCAATTTGGCCTAACAGCTGCTCAGAGAATGAGGGTCAGCTTCCCCTCACCCCCCCGCCACCCACGCCCCTCAGCACGGGGAAGCAGGCACTCAGGGGAGGGTCGGGCACAGGCCTTGCAGAGAAGGGAGGGCTCATCTCTGCCCAGCTGGGGGACGGGGGTGGGGGTCAGGGAAGGCATTACAGAGGAGGCGCGATTTGGGTTGGAACTTGAAGAATAGGCAGGCTATCACAAGGCAGGGATGGGAATGAGGGTGGACACTGCCAAATTCAAAAGACATTTTCAGTTCTTATCTTCTTGGCTCCCCTGCACAATAGACCATGATCTCCTGAAACCACTTTCCTGCTCATCAGGCGCTGGTTCTTGGCTTGGGAAATACTAAGTCCTCTTTGGGGCAGCTGCTAATGACGTGCAGTGCAGAGACTTGGGGGTCCTAAAAGAAGCCTTCCCGAGTGGCTCTTTCTTGTCTGACATCTCCCTGACTTGCATAACCGTAGAAGATAACATTTACGTATCACTCGCACTTCTGGCAATAATCAGAGAAGTGGAGAGCGAGGCAAAACAACCTCTCAGCACAGAGGAGACATCAAAGTCCACGCCCGAACGCAGGCTGGTTTATTCCAGGGTGACTGTTGAAAGAGCGTAGACTTTGGAGTCGGACAGTCCTGGAACCCAATGCTGGTTCCACCGCGACTGCCTGTGTAAACTTGGGCAGAGCTACGCTCGCCCGCTGAGCCCCGACTCCTTCGTCTATACAGAAGGGACAACTGCATCTGCGCCACAAAACTGATGGGAGGAATAACGAGGTCGTGCGCACGAGATGTCTACTACTCCGCCTGGCACCTAATGGGTGCACAGTGAAGAATGGCGGCCGTGATGTCCCAAAGCCATCCTCCCCGGCTCCCCAGCCTCCGTGAGCCCTTAAAGGGCTCCTGTCCCCCGGGGGGCCCATCTCTGGCTCACTTACAACTCTACAATTGCATCCGGGACCGTGAGTGAGTTTAACTTTTTCTATCTCTGCAACCACGCACTGATGAATCTGGAATTTTTCTCTGTAGCCTCCTTCTCTCCCTGGTGGGGAGTCTCCTGGGAGTTGTGGAGAGAACAGTCCCAAGGCACACAGGGAGGCGCCTGGGGCCCAGCCATGTGTCTACTAGAGACCAGGGCCAGCCCGTTCCAGGTCAGAACCACAGGGAAGGAGACCGATCCCTGCTGACGGAGCAAATCTTCTGAATAGGAAAGACGGCAACGCTCTACCCTACTCCATGTTCCTCAGGTCCGGGACTATCTCGTGCCTCTTTCTGGCCCCCGGTGCTGGGCGAGTAGTGGGCACAGCGGTCTGTGGAAGCGCGCTTTAGCAACTGTTGATATGGGACAGGGCTTTAGAATACACAGTATTGCAATCATGGATTTTTGTGTCATAATCCAGTTTCTTGGGCAAGTTACTTAATTTTTCCAAGTTTGCTCTCTCATATGCAAAATGGAGATAACATTAGCAGCAGCCCAGAATGTCACTGTATTAATTACAAGACATAACACATAAAGAATTTAACACATGCCTGGCTGATAATGCGCTCAATAATCGTTAGTCGTTTTTATTGTTATCAGCTGTGAGATCTCCAAAGGCTGCAGCAGCAGAGACCTTTGGCAGAAGGATAAAGGAAGCCAGGGCATGGTCAGAACAAGGCAGCAAAAGGACAGCAATTGTTAAGTTCAATTCAGAATTAAAAAAAAAAAAAAGAACAAAGAGGGGATGGGTTCACTTTTGAGGGAAGATGACAGAATGTTAACTGCGAGAGGTGATGGAATTACTCAACCCTCAATAGAAGTCTAGCACAAATAAGAATGCTCTTGAAATTGCAAAAAATAAAATAAGCACAGTTTGGAAAGGAAATGGAAACCGAATCACATTGGAGGAGAGTCAGTGAGCACCTCTTTAAACTGGCTTTTGCCTCTAGGCTCCAAAATGACATCAGAGGACACTCAAATAACTTACAGATGTGATCAGTGTCTGTAATCTTGAGAACTCAGAACAAAAGCTTTGCCAATTTTCAAAAGGGGTGTGTGTGCGCGCATGCATGTGTGTGTTGGAAGGAGGGTTTGGAGTGAATTCTGGGAATCGCAAACCACTGAGTTGAACGTCAATGCCCAATTAAACAGTCTGCCGCCATTTAGAAAGGAGACACTTGATTACGAGGAACCAGTTCAGGTTCACTTGAAACAAAGCGTATCAGACAAATGTCATTTCCTTTTTAAAAGGCGCTTTCCCAACTGGTGGAACAGTAGATTTGATTTGGTAAGGCAGTCCGTCTACATATTCAGCGTTTATCAAGATGACAAAGGCATGGTCTGAGAAGCTCACTTCCCAGTCAACAAGGTCGTGGTAGTGACATTAAGTGGTGTCTCAGCCAGTGGAATAATTCTGTCCAAAGTCTGCAGATGAACCATGTCAGCTCAGAAAGGGATCTTGGATCTGCTTTGATTCATGTCACGTTCAATGTTTCTGTCAAAGACCAGGTTCCAAAGACCCAGAAGATATGCTTATCAAGAGCTCAGGACATAGTAAAAGAGGCGGTCACGTGCTGAATGGTGGACTCGGATTCCGAATGGTCTTGAGAGCTGTTGGACCGAACAACATGACCAGGAATAAAATCTAGTTGGGCTCGAGACTGTACTAGCACATTAAGTGCCATGTTCCAATCAAGGGCAATAAAGTCTTAAAGCTGGCTCCCGGAAACAACCAAAATGCACGGAAGGACATGGAAAGTGCAGGGGTGGGTGAGAGGTCCAGATTCCACATGAAAACCCTGTGGGTGAACCTGAGAAGTGCTTGGAAAAGTGCCTCTCGCGTAGCAAGTGCTCTCTGCGAGTCAGCCTTCATTTACAATGATTGCTAGAAGCCCCTCCTTGAGGCAGTGCTCCATTTCTTATGGGGTGGATGGGTCTACGTTTCCCAGGTAGGTCATTCACAGCCACAACCGACTATGCTTTCCTACTCTGGGGTCCTGGCAGAGGAGGGGACGCTCAGTTACCTTCTCCCCAGGTGTGACTGAGATGCGCCATACGCAGTGCATGTGGGCGGAGTAGCCATTGGGGTACTCAGGGGAGGAGAAGTTGCCTGTGCTGTCTTGTAGGGTCTCTCCGCAGGCTGTCAAGGAAAGGAAATGACTGAACTGCTGGCTGCAGATGCCCAATCCCCCCACCTTCTGGCTTCCCGCCCTGTACTCTGGCATCCTTTGGGGGCGAGAAGAACGGCTGAGGAGGGGAGGGAGTCCGGGATGGTCCTGTCCCTTTAAGATGCCCTCCCTGCTCCTCACATATAAGCTCACACTGCTGACCTCTTCAGCCTAGTCCTACAGGATGCGCTGTTGTCAAGGCAACAAGGTTTCCAGAGTTAAGGTCAAGCTCCTTTGGCGGCCTCACTCTACCTCACTCCCTGAGAACTGCTCTGCCAGCCCTCTTTACTGCTCCTACTGTCCTCTTCTCCCAGACGCCTGGAAGGTGTGGGGCTCAACATCTCACCACCACCCGATCCCAGCCCCAGTTTGGTTCCTTAACTTGAACAGTGCCCCTGCTTGGGTGCCCCCACCCCCAACACCAGGCAGCCTCTGGCCTTCTCTAAGACTCACAGCTTTAACCTCCTCAGCCCCAGGTCCTGGCCCACTGGCTGCCTCAGGCTCTGTCCTCCATCCCTCCCTGGCCCGTCCCTCCCTGCCCCGACCTGGGCACTTGTAGAGCTTGCGGGCCTGGGCGATGTCCCCCTTGCTGAGCCGGGTCCTTTGACCGATGGGAGGTTTCACCCCATTGACCTCGTACTTGGGAACAATGGTGTCCAGGAAGATGCCCCTGAGGAGGAAAAGCCCGACCTGGGTGAGAGTCTGATGGAAGGAGGGGTGGCGTGCCTGTGTGCACCCAAGGTCACGATCCTGCCAGAGCCCAGACATTCCTCCGTAGGGTCAGGGACGGGTGGAGAGATCTCACCCTGTCATTATGCTGCCCACTGACCAGCAGCCACCCTGCTCCGTGGCAGTCACACAGCTGGAGCCTGGGGGAGCCCCAGGAACACTCTGGGAGGTCAGGGACGCAGGTTTCGCATGCCCCGGGGAACTCCCGGTGCCCCGGCTCAGTCTGGGCCCAGTCCCCAGCCTCAGGAGAGCTTCGGGCTCCTAGCGATCATGGGTCCAGCCTCTCCCAGCCCCTGCTTCCGCGGGCCCTCATGCTGAACCTCTCCTAGGACTACCAGGGCCAGTGCGCATCCTACCACAGGCTGCTCTCGACAAGTTCCAGCGTGGCTGGACCAGACCCTGGGGACAGCCCCGCAACTCCTGATCCATCAGTGCCTCCTGTCCCCCCGAGTTCCTGCCTGCTAAGTCCTGGGTGTTGCCATCTGGGAGGAGCAGGGCGAAGGGAAGCAGGCGGCCCTCCACCTCCCCAGGGACCCTGACTCACACCCAGCTGGGTGGAACTCGGCAGGGGGTAGGGTAGGATGTGGTGGGAAATGTCCAGGGGAGGTCTGTGGCCGTGGGGGGGCGGGATGACCTCACCACCCTTCCTCGGTCTCTGTTCCCTCAGGTCTGGACGCGGGCGAGACTGAGGAGGGGCACTGTGTGCGGGACAGAGCAGGAGAGCAGACAGAGGATGAGGAAAGAGCCAGGCATGGGAAAGGCCAGGCCGGGAAGGGGAGCCTGAGGGAGAGGAGGGAGGGGCCGTTTCCCACACTCTAAGGAGAAGCTCGGGGTGCGGAGGCTGGGCCACTACCTCTGGGGGTTCTGGCTGTGATTTCTGGGAACGTGGGCCCAGGAAAGGGAGTCGGTGTGCATGCGCTTGTGAGCAGGGAAGAGAGGCTAGTTCAGGCCAAGAGGGAGCCTTTGTACAAACTAGCCAGTTACAAAAAGGCAGACTGATTAGAAGGGATGCCCCCAATTAGAAAAACGTGCCTCTTTTGGCTGACAGATGAGGGAAAGAGCTCAGCTCCGCTGGACTGATGCAGTTCTGGAACCACAGCATGTATCTATGTGGCAGGCAGAGCGGCTGGATTTTCAGCCTCTTGGGCCAGGTGCCCTCGGGGTACACGGTACTAGGCTTTGTGAGCCTCGGCCGGGCCATGGACCCACCATGGAAGAGGACAGCAAGGCAGGTGGCTCCCACGGGTCCTCTCCTTGGGGGCTGCAGCCACCCAGAAGTCCACTCTTGTCCTTGGTGACTGCCCCAGCAGGGCAGCCTAGTGCAAAGCGAGAGGCCCAAAGAGAATGGCCTACAGAGGGCGGGATCGGGCTGCCCCAGAGGAGGCCAGGCCCCATCTCTCACCTGGAGAACGTGTTCCGGGCATAGTGCATGATACTGTCAAAATCATAGGTCTCCCCCAGGGACTCCACCTCCTGGAGCTCCATCTTCAAGAAGTTATACTCCTGCCCTGCGAAGACCAGGAAAAAGGTGTGGGGGGTGGGAGGGGTGGGTCTGTGTGGGGTGCAGTGCCACCTTTTCAGGGTGGGGAGTGGGGTCCTCCCTGCACTTGAGAGGTGCCCCCCTACCTGAGGGTCCGGGGAGCAGCCAAGGGAAGCCTGAGGGTAGGGGTGGGTCTCTAGAAGAGTCTGTCCAGCAGAGGGGCAGGGTCAACGAGGATTGGCTGGAGGGAAGGCTCAGGGAGTATGGAAAGGAAGCACCCATTTCTACAACCACAGGGAGATGAAAGCAGGGAAGTGTGGAGGAGGCCTGGGGAGGGAGGAAGGAAGCAGGAAGGGAGGGGAGGGAGGTAGCCAGGAGAAACAAGAAAAAAAAAAACCCTTAGAGGAGAGACCAGGCAGAGGGCAGAAGACCGGGGAAAAGTGAAGAGAAAGGCTGAGATGGCTTGGGGGATGTGCCAATTCCCCCCACAAACTACCCCCCACCCCAGGGCAGCTGGGCTCTGGCTGCTCCCGATGGCCTCTGTGTCCAGGACCAGGATCTCTCCCGGCCCTGCCAAGCAGCTCTACAACTGATCAAGGGTCTCAGAGATGCTACCCGCAGGGAGCCGATAGCATCTGGACCAACCTGGGCCCTGGACAAGGGCTGCCCACTAAGCTGACCAAAAGCGATGGCTCCAGGCAGCAGCTCCCACCCCGACCAGAGGCCCTGGAGCAGGTGCTGGGGCAGGTGCGGCACACAGCTAGGCGCCAAGGTCAAGGTGCTACCTGGCTGGATGTTTTCGCGAACGATGGAGACGTGGCGGTCCCGGTCTGGCCGCGTGTGCTCGTGCCAGAAGCCGATGACATGGCCCAGTTCGTGGACAACGATGCCGAACTTGTCACAGTTCTTGCCGATTGAGATGGCCTGTGGGCCCCCGCCGCGGCGACCCACGTAGGAGCAGCACCTGGAGGGCGGGGCCAGCTCAGGGGGGCGGTCCCGAGCTGGGGGAGTGCATCCACTCAGGGGCCGGGCGAGGCTGCCAGGGGGCGGGGGAGTGAGGCGCGGGGGAGGGGCCTGAGCGTGGGATGCCCAGGCTGTGTGCAGGGTTCATAGCCACATCCAGGCGGCTCCTGGGGAGAAGTCCCAGGGGAGGGGGGTGGGAGGGAGACAGATGACGCAGTGTCAGGCCCCGTTGGGGCAGCAGCAGGGCCCAGGGCAGAATATGGCTTGGGTGGTGGCCGAGGGTGCAGTGCCCAGGGGCCCCTGCTCACCCGCAGGGTCTATAGGTGAATACAATATAGCTGTCCTCGTCAGTGCGCTCCAGGAAGGTGACACAGGTATGCTTCTCCCAGTGCCTCATGGCTTGCCGGAAGACTGCCCTCTGGCTGCCTGCCAGGATGAAGGGGGCCAGGTTGTCACAGTGTCCAGCTGGGCCCATCTCCACCCATTGCTAGCTGTCAGCCTCTCATTGGACAGGTACACAGAAGGTACCACTCCTACCACGACACACGACCCGGCTGCCCCACGGCCAGGCCCAGATGCAGGCTGCTCCCCTGGCCCCCCAACATCACACGCACCAGTGAAGTTTCCCCCAATGACAAAGGGGATGACCCCATCGGGCCACACACGCTCTGGTCTGGATGTTGCTGCCCGCCGGCTCCGGGACCTGCCTCTCCATCTCCCACGGCTTCTCCTCTGCAGCTGCCCACTGGAGCTCTGGCAGTCGAAGGTAGAAGAATTTCCTTGGGTTGGAAGAGGAAGACATTGGTAGCAAGTAAATGAAGGGGTGGTGCAGGAAACAAATTATATAATCTATCCTCATTTAGGGGGAGTCCATATTTGCCCACTCACTAAAATTTATTTGTAATCCCAAAATCAATACCCTCAGCTCTCTCATGGTTTTTTGCTGACATGCACAGAGCAGGGAAAAGTGTGAGTCACCCACATGTCCAACTGAGGGGGAACAAGGTGACACCGCCTTCTTGTTTCAGCTCTCATACTGTCAATAAGTATCTTTTTCATAGTCTATTTAGTGCCAATTTTTTTGCATTTGGGGCTTTTTGCTGGTGACTTTGCTGTTTAAAATGACTCCCTTCCGCCCCGATGTGCTGAAGCATTGCCGTGCTGTCTGGTGTCCCGAGTGCTAGAAGGATTTGATGTGCCTTATGGAGAATATACATGTCTGTTAGTTACATAAGCTTTGTTTGGTCATGAGTCATAGTGCTGCTGGCCATGGCTCAATGTTAATGAATCAACTGTGTATTAAATCAGGGGTCTTTAAACAGAAACACACGTAAGACAGGGTCACACATATGACGAGAAGCTAGCAGGAAGTGAATATTGTGTTTCTCCTAGGAGTGATGGATGGCTTAGGATTTGTGAATTCAGTGTTCTCAGTGACTTTATGGAACAAGGTTATCCTATAGCTCTATTCATAACTACCACGGGTTGGGGCACCTGGGTGGCTCAGTCGGTTAAGCATCTGCCTTCGGCTCAGGTCATGATCCCGGGGTCCTGGGACCCAGCTCTGCGTCGGGCTCCCTGCTCAGCGGGGAGTCTGCTTCTCCCTCTCCCTCCGCTCCCCCCTCCCACTTGTGCTCTCTTTCTCTCTCTCTCTCAAATAAATAAAATCTTTAAAAAAAATAAAAAAAAAATAACTACCACAGAGAGCGAGAATTGACCATAACTGAAAAGAAAACCATGGTGTCCTAATTTCCTAGGGATTGCAGGGGGCTTGAGACTAGGAAATGGTCCCTTCTCACTTAATAAAACTTCTTCCTTGTGAGCATATGGATCTTGATGTCTTTCAGTGTTCCCAAATACACGTTCTCCAGTGACATAGTAGCTCTCTGGGATGCACTGGGCAAGCATCACTATGTATATTTGACGGATGAGGAAACTGAGGCTGAAGATTTGCCCAAAGTCACCTGGTGGGTTCGTGGTGGGCCCAGGCACTCCAACCCCTCCATTCTGCTGGTCCCTGCTGAGGCCCAGGAAGCCTTGCTAGTTATCAGGCCACCACGTCACCCTCCAGTGCCAGCTGCTCTCTGGGATTAGTTTGACCTTTACTCCACGGCTGCCCGTGCCACGAGCCTCCCTCGTGCAGGACAGGGCAACTGCTTGGCCCCAGCAGAGTGTGTGCAGCATGGGCTCCAGGTGAGAATCCCTGTCCCTGGCAATGGAGACCTCCCTGGAGGCAGCACCATGTTCCAGAGCAGTGACAAGGCTGGACAGAAACGAAACGGCCTGTGCCCTGACTCTTCCTCTTCTCTCACCCATTCACAAGGTCCAGGTGGGTTGCTAGCTGCTTGGGCCACACTCGGAGATGAGAAGGACCCATCCCTGACCTTGAAAAGCTTTGAGTCCAGCAGGGAAGATAGACGTATTAAAAAAGAAAAACCACTGAAACATGGTTCACTGAGTGAGATACTAACATGGTCAACAGACAGCAGGGAGAGAGCAAATGGAGGTACAGGCATGCTGGGGGGACGATCAGGGAAGGTTTCACCAGAGAAGCTCTGGTGCTGGGCTTGGAAAGATGCGTAAAAGCTTGCAAAGTGGGAGCACGAGGTGAAGTCAGGAGGGACTGGGGTGTTGAGCAAAGAGCCTCAGATCTGGAGTGAGAAGGCTTGGGTTCCTGTCCCAGCTCTGCCACTGACCAGCTATGTGATCGTGAACAAGTCATGTTACCCCCATGGGTCTTAGTTTCTGTATCTGCAAGGCAGGGGTTGTCCTGACACCTACCTTTGCAGGTGGTTGGGGACAGTTAAGTTAGATAATGCTTTTGAAAGTCCTTTGTAAACTGTAAGCAAAAAGAATGTCAGTTCTGGCTCCTGGGTTTGTCTATACTTGCTGTTCCTCTGGGGGAAGGGATAAAGATATCCCAAGGGAAGACAAGCCATTATGCTGGGTTCAAGCTCATAGCCTCTGTCCTGAGAGGGCACTGGCTGGGAAACAGGGAGGTTCCTTGTTTCTCCAATTCTGGAACCCATTTCTGGGACATAGGAGACCCAGCCTGTACCTGGCGTACCTGCAGTTTTGATGGAAGACCTGTGCGTTGCCCGCTGCCTGAGATCTGCAGCCTGCTGCGCCTGGAAGGCCCTCAGGTCCTCCTCATCCAGGGCGATGTCCCCAAGGAAGGCAGCTAGAGAGAAAAGAAGAGGCCGGGGGAGTTAATCCTTCTACCCAGTACTGGCAGCCCCAATGCCAGGGGCTCCGCTATGGCAACTTTAGTCTGCAAATGCCTTCTGAGGAAGAAGGCAGCAGGGCGCTGGCTTTGAGGATCCCTCGGGAGACTTGTGCTCACTTTGGAGTTGGGAATCCAGCAAAGCTGATACCCACCCCCTACCAGAGGAAGACACGGCCATGTCACTCTTCCCATCACTCTGAATACTTAGTAAGCACCTTCTGTGGGCCAGGCACCAGCCGAGTGATGCGCAAGATAGAAGAGGTCCCTGCTTGTGTAGAGCTAACCTTTGACAATATACAAATAAACAAACACTGAACTCAAGAATGGTGATGCGTGCTATGAAGAAAGCAGAAGGGGGTCAGATAACAGAGTGTCTACTCTGTGGGCCCATAACCTTGGTGCTGCGCTGAGCATGTGGTATTCACTCAACAAAGGCTGTTTCAAAGATGGAGGGGAGGATGTGAATAAGAACAGAGCAGAGAGGCATAGGAGGGAAACCAGGACACATAACGGAGCTGCCCTGCTAGGAGGAAGAAGTTTAACTGTTCTCAAGGGACTCCTATTCTCAGTTTCAGGGTCCCTTCTCTGGAGGAAGGAAGGCCGGGGGGGGGTCGTAGAGCCCCCTGAATAGGCCATTTTGACTTCTGGATCTGGGGAGAGATGTTTTTGGAGAGATGGGCTCAACAATCCGCCTGCCTTTTGAGAAGTCAGGAGCAGGAGGAAGCTGGGGAGCTGAGTGCTCTGGAAGGAGCTCAGAAGCGAGCTTCACACTGGGCTGGGCTGGGGGAGGCGGCAGGCTGAGCTGGATGGAGGTGGAGCTCAGGGAGCAGCTTCCCTGAAGCTCCACCCATGGCAACATCTGCTTCTCATCCGGAGTGCTACACAGGCCTGGCGGCAGCATTACACAAATTATTTTAACCTTGAGGCCTTGCACACAGGTTTCTCCGCCCCAGATGGCCCACTGGGTGGACACACACACACACACTTCATCATACACAGAATCAGGCACATGGTGACATCCACAGCCATGCCCTCAAACACAGAGCTATGGAAGTCACAGAGATATGCTCCCCACTCCCATTCCCCCCAAGCAGCGCCGCACCACCCTTGCAGGTGGAAGGCACTCCAGAGTGTTTGTTCAAGTCAAGTATCACATCGATATTCTTTGGGCCTGCAAAGACACATGCCCATAGACACATACTCTGATGCAACCTAGACCTGGATTGACAGAACGTGGGAGTCCCCTCTAGCAGTTATCCAGGCCAACATTCCATTTTACAGATATGGAAACTGAGGCTTGGAGGGGAAATGGTCTCCCACACTGCTAGTTGCTGGAGAGGCTGGATTCGTAACATGGGCCTCCTGATTCCCAGGCTAGCACTTGTTGTGTTCAAGTGCATTACTGCTGTAGAACCCATATCGTAAATTCCCATACACAAAAATAGACACTCACGCAGACACACATTCACACACACACAAAATGCACGGTCACAGACAGTTCTAAAAAACACACACGCACAAGCTCCAACACACACAGACTAACTGCAAGTTCTAAACCCAGTAAGCCAGTAATGGTAGCCATAATGACACCTTCCCGGTTGACAAAGTGCTTCCACATTAATGAATTCATTTAATCCTGGCCCACTCAGGGCATGCCCGTTAAATCATGCTCCACCTGTGCATTTGCCTACGAGTGTGCAATTACAAACTCTTCGAGAGATAACCTCATGGCTAGATTCCAGCCCACCTCCCTTACCTCAGAGATCAGAACACTTGGGCCTAAGAAGGGAAATGACTTGCCCAAGGTCACCAGCTGGTAAGTGGCCCAGAATCTCTTCCACCACATGAGAAAGATTTTTTTCCATAAAATGTCACCATTGGGGGACTTGGCTCAGCAACTGATTGGATGGCAGCAGGAGACGTTTCTTAGCTGGCACGCAAAGGTGGTGGGATGAGAGGTGCACTCCGAGAAGACAATGCCAACATTCACACAGGCACACGCAGGCCACACGGATACCCTCACACCTTGACACACCTTTCACCTCTGCACAGACACTGACACCTCTGGGCTCACGTGCCCACACCCACGGGCACCATCATATACACACGTGGCTGCACATTTAGACTCGTCTTTGGACATGGCAGCAAAGCACAAAGTCTCTGTAGGCAGACAGACCTGTCTTTGAATCCCAGCTTGGCTCCTATTAGCTGACAAGTCACAGAAACTCTTCTAAACCTCAATTTTCTCCTACATAAAAAGGCGCTAACGATAGAATCTGTCTCCCAGGATGACTGCATGAAATAAGGCATGTAAATAAAGCACGTAGCACAGAGCCTGGAACACAGTAAGCACCCACTAAATGGTCACTGTTAATCTTACCCCCAAAACAGCCCCATAAGCTCAAGATCAGCTCTCCACTTTCCAAGGGCATATCGGTTCACCCCCATTGGCTTCCTGGCTGAGTGAAGCCCCAGAGTGCTCAGAAGCAGAACCTCGAATTCCAAGTACAGAGGCCACGGAACCGTGCTGGCCTGTGAGACCAGGGCGGTGTGGGGGGCAGGGCAAGCGGAAGGCGCGACAGGCCCTAGGATGGCCACAGAGCTCTTCTGCCGAGCGGGCGTCCTGTGGTGGGGATGTCATGGCTGAAGAATGTGTGGGAACAGAGTGGGGGTGGGGAGGCATGGGGTGGGCAGGGGAGCCTTCTGGCCAGGAATTGAGCCTGAAGGCCCTGCCCATTTGGGATTCCCCCATGGGGAAGCTAGGGAATCTGGATGCTGGAGAGGCCAGGACAACCCCCCTTACCCGGAAGGAAGTCCTGGGGTCAGGGTCAGGGTAGTAGTTGTTTTCAACACAGGATCAAAAGTTTGTTTTGTTTTCTGGCTGTAAACCAGCCGGGAGCACTCGTGGCCACTCCATAGTCAGGCTGGGGGCAGGAGAGGAAAGAAAGAGTAAGGTGGACTTCGTGTGCCCATCCTCTAGGTAGGCCTCTTGGCTCCGGAGTCTCCTCCCCTGGGGCGTGGCAAGGCATCCCCGTCCGGGGACAGGGTGAGGAGCTCGCTGGTGTGGTGGCGCCCCAATGCCATGTGTACGGGGCATACGCATGTCCCATCACACAAATGCAAGCTTCTTGCTGGGGGAGAACATACTCAAGCTCCCACGGACATGGGCACGTACTTAATCACAGCTGCACGCTGCTACACAGGTGCATATCTGCGCACACCCCAACGTGTACTCAGGAATACCCATAGGCACAGTTGGATGGACTTGCCCATAAAGCAGGAGTACACCCACAAACGTGCCCAAACACTCTCTTGACTACTTCCCTGTGCCAGCCCTAGTGTATTCAAACACACAAATTATTGCATGTACACATTTCACAGGCTATACCTCCCAAAGGTGAAGGGCACCCTTAGAAATGAATGGGGGGAGTGGAGAGAGAGACAGAGAGACAGAGAGATTAGCTGATTCCCCTGGATATCCTTAGGAGGCCCTTAGTGGCCTGAGTGACACATTCTACACCCGCCCCATCCTCCCCCAATATCTTCTGGAGAAACTAGAACTCTTGAGAGTTCCTTCTTTCTGGGGAGTCCCATTGGTCCCCCTCCATCTGGAGCCCAGGGAGATTCTAAGTCTTTTCCTCCTCCCTTGGGGCACCTAAAAGAGAAGGTGACTCAGGGAGCAGGGGCATAGGTGGGTGGGTGACTCATTCAGAGTGTCTGGAGTGGGAATGTGGTCTGGCAAGAGACTGGATCACTTCTCAACCTCCAAAACTTGTGACTGAGGCCTCTTGAAGTCCAAACCTGGGCAACAAGGCCCCTGGGGTGGGGACAGTGATGAGGGCTGGTAAGCTACTAGCCCACCTCATCTTCTCAGAGCAAGCAAACCTCTGAGCTGCCAGCTAGGGCCGAAGTAAGGTCCTCACTGGCTCAAGGGCACTCCCCAGGTGCTTCTCTGCCTCTGGGAGCAGCTGTGTCCCCATTCCTGCCTCCCGCATCTCTCCCAGAGCCCTGAGGCTCACTGCCAAGAGCTGGGAATCTCAGGGAAGATCCCCCTTGATGGTTTGGCATCCTAACATATAAGAAATCAGGGCTGATTCGCAATCTCCCTAGGCAAGGGGTAGAGAAGGAGAGAGAGAGAGACAGAGAGAGCTCATATGTGCACGTGAGGGCCTGCACACCAGAGCATGAGCTTGGTGGAACCAGCTCTCAGCACACACACAGAACAACTCTGCTTCCCGCCTATTGTTCTAGTGTTGCCCAGAAGATCCAGGAAACTCTCCAGGATATCAGGGGTCTTAATTTTGCCTTACTGCCCTCAATTTTGCCCTACCTCTGACAGTAAGTGCAGGAGGTAAACTCAAATGAAGGGGCCTGGTTATCCTGAAAGGTGAGCCAGGGGATTCAACAGGACTTTCATTCTTGGTCCTCTGTGTGCAAGGAGGAGAAGAGGAGAGAGCTGGAAAGGGTGAAGGGAGCAGAGCTAAGCAGGCAGATCAGGGGCATCCAAAGGAGGCAAAGCCTGGTGCTCCTGCCATCATCACGTCTAGCACCTGGACGGCGGGGCTTAGAGGGATCAAGAGGACACAGCAACATGAACAGAGAGAAGAGCCTAGGGACGCAAGGTGTGAGGCTGTTGGCGTGGGGTCTTAGGGAGTCAGGGTGGAGGTAGGCAAGGCTGCAGCAGTCACCCCCAGGAGGGAGGCCTGATCTGACCCTGACTCTTGGCCTTGTCAGGCTCTCGGGCCCTCTCGGCCACCCCCAGGCCTGGCCCAGCTCCCCATCAGCCTCACTTCACCCTGGGGCAGAGCCTTCTCCAGAGCCCTTGTTTGAAGTTCCAACTCAGCCTGCCCCACCCTAGCATGAAATCTGAGACTGGGGATAGAGCCTCAGCCTCCTGCCGCCTCCTCCGAAAATCACTCCAAATCCCTCCAGGAGTGAAATACATCAGATTGACTTCCTACCCATTCTTCAAGGCCTTCCCTCCTCCATGACGAACCCCCAAACCTTCCCAGCCTGCTGTGAGCCCTGGTTCTCTGCCACTGCCACCGCCAGGCCTGCAGAGGGGTAAGGGGCTCCTTGAGCCTTTAAGCCCTTTCCTCCCAAGGTGGCACAGAACGCCTCTTGGTTGGTGCGGTTGGTTACATCCCCACGCGTCTTATGCCCCTCCCAGACTGGAAGCCCTTTGAGGGCAGGGGCCATGTCTTACACTTTTCTGTATCTCCCCCAACATGAAGCCCAGGGCCTGGCACATATTATAAGCATTCAGTCCATGTAGATCAGCTGAATGAATAAGTGACACAAGGACAGGGACAGGGAGACACTCCCTTCCAGCAAACCCAGCCCATTCCCTCAGAAAAAAATGAAGTGAGAGTGTGAGGCACAGAAAACAGGGGAGTAGGCAGCAAACATTTATTGCTTACTGTGTGTTAATCTCTAATAAGTGTTTTATATATGTTCTCATATTTAATCCTTGCCATCAATTCTACAGAGAGACATATTATCAGTTCCATTTTACAGGTGAGAAAAGCAAAGTTCAGACATGATAATTAACATTCCCCAGGCAGTAGAGCTAATGAGTTGTAGGTCCAGGATTGACAGCTTAGGTCTGCCTGCATCCAAAGCCCAAGCTCCGTCCGCTTAGCCTCATGCCCACTCCAAGCCCAGGGAGAAAGATGATGGTTAATGTCTGGTTTACCCACAGCCCAGCAAGGGTGGAGAAAGGCTGAGATTTGGCTTCTCCTCCCACTGGAAGAAGGGTTCTACCTCTTCTGTAGCTTGCTGTGTGTGATGCATTCACCCAAAGTAGGGAGCCCAGGGTCAGGACTAGAGGGACCCAACCTCTTATACCACATACAGGCACTCCTAGAACTCTAGGGACTGGGCCACTACCCCTGTCCCTGGTTATTTGGAGACAGGCTGAAATCAGAGGCAGGAAGTTGAGGAAAGATTCTGATGATATCTTATGGCCTGTGTGTTCTCTTGTCCCAGGCAGCCTGTTCAGGGTCATCTGATTAGGCAAATGGCCTGAGTGCCTGGCCATCTGGTCACTCCAGGGGCAAGACCCCTGTGGGCCCAGCAGGAGTGAAGGGGTTACATGGGGTCTACATGGACAAAGAACACACACACACACACACAAACACACACTCTGGGGCCCTGACCTCAGCTAATTAGCCTCCAGTGTCTGTGGACTAAGAGAGCGGATACACAGTATTTGAGTTCTCTGTTTTTCCCCTTTCCACCCCAACTTGGCCTTGGTAGGTACTTCTGGCACCTAAGGGCAGAGGTAATCCCCCTCCCTGGCTGGCTTCTCTAACTTTGACAGCTGTCTCCTCTGTCCCAGAAGGCCGCTGTGTCTGGTGGGGGGACCATGGGACACCCACGGAGCATGACATCAGAGGATCTCTTGAAAAACTTTCTTCTTTCACTTGGGCTGGGTGGGGGGCCTCAGGAGACTTGCTCCTCAGAGATGCAGGCCTCCCGCACCCCCTGGGCAGACAGATGTGCAGCCTGGGGGCAGCCCAGACAGGCTGGAAAACAGCAACGTCCTGGAGCCCGAGATGGGGGACAAGGGAAAAGTGCACACACACACAGGCACACACGGACACACACACACACACACGCGCGCGAGTTTGGCCAGAAAAGTTTCCTGCAGGAGGAAAAGCCTCCTTGGCCGCAGGTTTCTCCCTGGACCCAAAGAGCTTGTCCCAGGAATCTTCTGGGAAGAGAGGGCAGCGGCAGCAGCTTCCACAAATAGCAGCACAACTTCAGTCCTAAAAGTCCCCCAAACTTCCCCCTCCCTCTCTCCCTCTTTCTTTTGTTCCCCACTGCATTGCCAACCAGGCAGCTCCCGGCTTCCCACACTGGACTGTCCTCCCCCAACCCCAAACGCTCAGCAGCCCGCGCCTCCCCGCGGGGCCTGCCCGCGCCCCGGCCCCAGGCGCCCCGGCCGGTCGGCGGGGTGGGGGGCGCCTACCCGCCTTGCAGGGGTCTTTGTAGCCGACGGGCTCCGAGTCGTCCTCCTCCCCCAGGTCATAGGTGTAGTCGGCCAAGTCCAGCGGCCGGCCCGGGCGCGGCAGCAGCAGCAGCCAGAGCAGGAGCGGCAGCGGCAGGCGGGCCACGCCGGGCATGCTGGAGGGCGCGGCGGCGGCAGGAGCGG